CCCATGATCATTAAGGCTCTCATCCCCAAGTCATGCTTTGACTGAGGATTGTGAAATTTTGCACAACTATGTAGCGTGCCTGGGCCTACAAAGAGGTCTCATGGAGCCACAGGGGAGTCGGCCATTTTGTTCCAATTACGCTAAAGAGTCTCTTTCGAAGCTGGAATATTTTGCTAGTGTAAAACATTTTTAGTGGGGAATGTTGGCAGGCTAGGAGGAAAGGTTGAGTCAGATTGAGATGACAGCTCACAGTGATCGCAGTTAAACTCATGTTTGGGTCTCTGGCATGCATGGGCGCTCGTGCGCCACCGGACGCAGGGCGATGGCTTGGGAGAGTGTCAGGGATGGAATGGAGGGGTGCGGATGGAGGACGAGCAGCTTCACTGCGAGGGCCGAACGACACTGCTTGCAGCTTTAATGAGATTTGTTCCTCTATAGTTCCCAGCTTTGGAAGACATCCATGTTTTTAATCACAACGTGTGATTTAAAAAACAGCCACAGAACATATTATTTCATGCTTTACTGAGCGGTGAATTGTGTTTGTTTAGAACAGGTCTGAGGACACCTTCTAGGGCTCCTGAGGACACCTTCTAGGGCTCCTGAGGGCAGAAAGTACACACTAAACCCAGAGAGAAGAGCATGCACTAATAATAAATGATACGTGATAAATGACCCCACTTGTATAGCGCCAGAATGATAAAATCTAAAGGTCAAAGGTCACCAGATAAATGACCTCCAGCACTTGTACACAGTACAGTGTATTATTCATCCACTCACACGCTGGTGGTGATGAGCTACATTATAGCCACAGCCGAGGCTGCCATAAATGGTAAGTGGCCTGCATTTGATATGGCGCCTTCTAGAGTCCTGGAACCCCCCAAGGCGCTTTACAACACAATCAGTCATTCATCCATTCACACACACAATCACACACTGGTGGTGATGAGCTACGATGTAGCCACAGCTGCCCTGGGGCGCTCTGACAGAGGCGAGGCTGCCGAGCTCTGGCGCCACCGGTCCCTCCGACCACCACCAGCAGGTATGGAGGGTTAAGTGCCTTGCCCAAGGACACAACAGCAGCGACAGACTGAGCGGGGCTCGAACCTGCAACCTTCCGATTACGGGGCGAGCACTTAACTCCTGTTCCACTGTCGCCCCATACACTGGCACCACCAGAATACTCTGATCTGGAGCCAAAAACGTCCACCTGAAGGATCTGGTGATGGTGAGTTCACAGACCAGGAAAAGTGTCGGACACTTCATGTGTGATGGCAGCAACGCATTCACAGACCAGGTAAAGTGACTTCAGATTGGTCTAGCACCAGTTAGACCAGTTATTGACTGATTCCAACCAGCAGAAGACTGTTTCGTCTTTAAGACAAACGCACACAAAGTGACCATAAAACATCCAAAACAACAACAAAGACACACAAACACCACGAGGAGCAGAAAGATCCAAAACAGCAACAAAATTACACAAAACAGACGCGTAGGGACAGGAAGTGACACGGACGGAAACACTGCAGAGGGTTACAGGTACCCTCAACAGAACTAAAGATCTGAGTCTGCAGGGTGAAGTCCACCAACTTCAACACAACACCCATAATACCCCAAAGACCTTCAAAATAAAAGCACATGGGACACAGAGTAGGAATGTCAGGTCAGAGGAAGATGATGATGGAAACTATCTGGTCCAGACTGAGGAGGTGTGTAAGACCCCCCCCCCCCCCAGTGTTATGTCTGTTCACCAATCAGACCTCACCATGTGACGGAGTGTGTGTGTGTGTGTGTTTAATGTGGAGAAACAAAAGGTCTCTGAGGAGACGACAGCTTTTAATTAACTGCTTCTCTTATGTCCCCGAGGACACAAACGTCCCACTGAAACTCCCATTAGTGCCTATTTAACACACGCGCACGTGCACACACACACACACACACACACACACACACACTAAATGCAAAGCTATGATTACAAGTTGTAAAACAATTAAAAACTGCAGATAACTTCAAATCAAATCAAAAGTTGTTCTGATGTTAAAAACAAACGTTTTGTTTGAACGGAGCAGAATTATTAACCCGGTTTGGTTTCTTATTGCTCCGATCGTTTTTACCTAAATAAACGCAGACACGGACCAATCAGAGAGAGTTATCAGAGGTAAACAGTGGAAAACAAAGGAGCAGCGATGATGATGATGATGAAGAGGAGTTACAGACTGTTTCACTCCTCCACCTCCTCCACCTGTACGCAGCAAAAACAAGCATCCCTCCATTCAAGCTGCATCATGTCCTCACACAACTGACTGCAGGGTGTGTGTGTGTGTGTGTGTGTGTGTGTGTGTGTGTGTGTGTGTGTGTGTGTGTGTGTTCTGGTCCCACTTAAACATTCACAGTGATGGAGAGCAGCAGCACAACACACTCTTTGTGTCATCGGTGACATCATCGGCCGTTTTAAAGGATCCACCACAGAAGAAGAGCCGTTAGCGGGTTTCTGCTCTGACGGTTTTAAGGTCCGTTTCCTCCTTTAGAACAGGAGGGGAGGACGGAGGAGGAGCTGCTTCTCCTCCTGCTACTTTTGCAAGAGAACCTGATCCAGGAGATTCCTGGATGGACCAGCTGGTCCAGACCCACCAGAACCGAATCAGTAGCAAAACTCTGAGTAACTCTTCAGCACCCACCCTCATATTGTGATTAACCCCCACAGCATCCCACAGGCCCCGCCCCCTGCTGCTGTCCCATGAGAGGAGTCAAAGTTTCCTCCTCAGCAAGAGGAGCCGTCCGTGAAAGGAGGGGAGGAGAGCGCCTGTCGCCGAGGGCCCAGCTCGGCCTCAGTGTTGAATTTCGTAATGGAATGCTAACTGCTCATCCGGGCCTCTCCTCCTCCTCCTCCGGTGCTTCTCCTGGCAGCAGCAGCAGGAGGAGGAGGAGAGGAGGACCAAACACAGCAGGAACACGCCGGTTCCCATCCAGGGAGGAGCTCAAACAAGAACCCGAGCTGCTCTGAAACAGGAAGTCCCTCCGTGCCGGTCTCAGGTGCACTCCAGAGTTCGGTCCAGTCCCGGTTTATTACATCCTAACGAGACCCGGTGGTGAGCAGGGTGCTCGTGCACCGGGGTCAGAGGTCAAACAGGTTTTTTTATCACTGTGTTAACCAGGAAATCTGCAGGTTTTACAAACCAACGCAAAGGTCAAAGGTGAAGGGACACTTTTAACAAACAAAGGTTTACGTGTTTATAGACAAAACATTTAAGCTAGGTCTGTTTACACCAGCTGACATAAACAACAACAAGAGTTCTGGATCTGAACTCTAAAGTAAAGCAACAACCAGGTAAAGCGTCATGATGATGGCCCTGCAGCTGATCTCAGGTCAGATGTTAAGTTCCTCCTCAGCAGGAGCAGCAGGAGGAGGAGGAGCAGGAGCAGGATTATCTAACCGGTTCGGTCCGAGCGGGTCTCCCTGCAGCGGAGCGTCAATCATTCACCCGCAGCTCCGATAAGGAGATCTCTGACACACTTAAACCGGGTTACTGCAGTTATTCAACAGCCCGGTACCGGTCCCGGTCCACAGCATCCTCCACCGGGACCCGAACCACAGCTGCCACCTTAAAAGTTTAACCGAATTCGGTTGAACCCGTCCAAACGAGTCACGAGTTAAAGTTTCAGGCTGAAGCTGGAGATGGGCGATGTCGGCAGACCGAAGAGACCAGAGGAGGAGGAGGAGGAGGAGGAGGTGGTGGATGCAACAGGCGTCACGTCGATGCTGCTGCTGACGGTGGAAAAGTCTCCGAAACGCGGTGAAAAGTCGCCAAACAGCCGCAGAAACTGGCGCAAAGTGGGCGGCTGGACCCCGTGACCCGCAAACACACCGCGCTGGTTCGGTTTATTAACGAACTGGGCTCAAATACTGGATATATGTGTTTGGGCAAGGTCACACAGCAGCGTGGAGCTAGCAGCAGTTAGTGCGGCTAGGACCGGAAACACAGAGGTCCAAATTTCAAAATAAAACCCAAAACTTGGCTCTCAATTATTAAGTAAAGTTACCTTCATTTAGAAACTAGGTGTCAACAGCGAGGATAAACAAATGGAAGAATTCAGAGTTGACACTGTTACTAAAACAGCTTTAACACACCTCTGGATTTTATCACTAACACGTTTATCAGCAGATGGACAGAAGGCTGTGTGAGTAAAGATACACACAGTTCACAAGACTAAGCTGTGGTGATGTCATCCTTGTGCAGATGAAACATCCTGTCCATCCTGACATCGCTCACTCCAACAGGAACACAAACAACCGGACAGATTAGTTTCCTAAACCAGCCCAGGAGCAGAGTCCAGGATGGAGCTGACCACACCGAAACAGGAGAAACATCACATGACCTTCCAAACAATGACATTAATCTCTGAACGCCTGATAAACGCGCTACACCTCCAGTTAGAAGAGAATAACCCGTTTAGATGACTCCTTACTTTCCAGCCTGTCTAGATGCGATGTAACAGGTGTTTTATTTTGAAAACTTGGACAGGAAGTAGCGTCTTTAGCCTGGTTACCTTGCTGTCGGGGTCTGATAGCTTTACACATGGCCACTAGCAGCGAGGCTCCGACCAAAGTGCACCCGAGATATGGATGCTCGCCTCCGGCGCACGGCAGACTTTGGACCCCCCTCTTCCGCCCTCCCCGCGGCGCAAAAACACCGAATAACCGCCTGAAACTTGCACACAAGCGCTAAAAGTGGTCGCAAAAGTGCTAAAAATCAGCTGTTATCGCTAATTAGCGGAGGTAGAGTGAATGAGGAAGAGACGCGGGTTGAATTCCACTGCTTGGATGCGCATCAAACTAGGAAGCAACTCGGACAGAAACCGAGAGAAACGTCCGCTTCGTCCGTCGCGCGAGCCCACTTTAGTCCGCGCGCCGCGAAGTTCTCCGGTTGCCCAGAAACGAGCAACAGGTCGGTGTCGGTGGGAGGAAGAGCAGCGATGGGGAGGCAGAAAAGGAGCTGACTTACCCCGGACTTTGTTGGGGTTGGGCTGCTTGCGCCGAGCCATCGTGGCGAGGAGGAGGAGGATGGCGGTGATGGAGGATGAAGAATAAACAAATAAAGACAGGATGGAGGAGGAAAGAGGCTGAAAGTCACTCCGAAGAGGAGAGGAATCAAAATGGCGTTTCCGAAGGGATGTGCAAACTTGGACAAACTTTACTCCGGCTTCTCCTCCTCCTCTCTCCTC